TGATATTAAAATCTTCTTGTGAAACATAAGTCCAAATAACTCTTTACCAACATTGTAAATCAAATTATTTCCGACAATAACATCCCCTTCACCGAGATCATAAACAACACAAAGTTTAGGCAGAGTCTCCCTTGTACCGAGCACTCCCAAGCGCATAACCTGTATGTATTTCAATTACTTGATCATTCCAAGGTCCAAAATACTTCAATTTGTCCTTAATATTACTCTATTTACATCTTTTGAACAAAAGGATTCAATGCCCAAAAGCTTGACAAAGTTATTTTAAATTTTGAAAATTTTGGAGGAGTTATCGGTAGCTCGTGTAAGTGTTACCGGTAGCTAAGTCCTCTGAAATTTTGCTACCGGTAGCTTAAGACTTGCTACCGGTAGATGAGCTCAGTTTTTTCCCAATTCAGTCATTTTTCAATTTCAACTCATCCTACCTCATACAACATTCACCCAAGCTCATATAACATCAAATTATACTCAAAATATAGTCTATAAATGTTCATTACACAATCTTTTAAACAATATTACATGTCCAAAAACTCATTACACAATTGTTTTACAAAAATGTAATCTAAAGCTACAACTTAGTTTTCTTCATCAATGAGGGCCTAAGTGAGAGTCGTCCACCAGTGCTTGTCCCGCACCTGGAATGTTGTCCCCATAAAGGGTGAGTCATGCTCAATAGAGTATCTCCTAAAGAGGTTACTCCCCAATCTAGATGCATATGACATGCTCACATGCAATTCAACAATCAAACAAGCATTTATCCAAGAACATACAATTTCAAGAATGAATGTCATAATGTCGTGTCATATTATAAGGTGAGACTCACACATGCAATACAACCTGAGCCTTTACTGGCTCCCATAACACTTGCAATGTCATGTGTATGAATTCGGACATTCCAAGCCCCTTATCATTGATGTTATACATTCAATGAATATTTGTAAATCCCAGGTCTTTATTGGCATGGGTATTTATGGACTTCTACCAACGAGCACCCAACCGACACGACATTTATGGACTTTTACCAACAACTCTGCATACGTTGACACACTTTATGGACTCAATACTAACGGAGTGCAAATCCAAATCACCGAATCTTGCACCCGAGGGATAATCTAGTCCTTCTTGCTAACCCCGACCCTATTTTTAATGTAAGCCCATGCGATTCAGTTGAACCTTCACCCAATTTTTCCCAGCCCACGTATCAATCCACCAAAGATAGTGTTTGATCAAAACCATGCACACACGCACACACACATACACACTCATGCCACATGCCCACGAATGTGATGCTTCCTGTACATATGCAAAATAATGTACAATTGCATTTCATATCATTATGCAGCCAAGATTTTAATTGCAATTACAACATCATGTTCAAAATGTCATGAGCACAATATGAACAATTTCAATTCCTTAATGTAACTTATATCATAAAGCCTATAATTACATTTCGACATCATCACATTCCCAAATTGTCAATTATATCAAAAACATATAATTACAATCCATATTCTCACCAAGCATGTTACAACATTTTCAATGAAACAAGCATGCTACATCAACATAGACATTTTATCAAACACCCCAAAGACACATAATCATGTAACACATAATCATGCCCAATTTATCATATTTCTCATAAATTTACCAAACAAGCAAATTTCACAAACTTAATTTATGCAAGATTGGTTTAGTATATTTCTATACTCATTTCTCATATTCTAGTTTCACTAGGAGTATATCAAACTACCCATTTCATATGAAACCCTAGGTTAAAAATAAACCTAGTTGGGAAAAGAACCCTACCTCTTGAAGCATAATACGAGTGATAGAAACTCCCAAGAACTCAAATCAAGCTTCAACCCTTGATTTTCAAAAATTCCATCTTTGAGACTTCAGCAAAATCCCTTATTTTTGGTACGTAGACGTCACTTTCGTCGCATAGATCAACTTTAGTTCTTGGGCCGAGGCGATTTGATGAGAGGTTGGCCCTAGATCGTAGAGAGAAGCTTGAAGAACTTTGATTTTCTCTTTCCTCTCTCCCTTCTCTCTTTTCCAGAAAAACCCAGTTCAAATGGAGAAGAAATCTGATTTTTCTTCTCTTTTTATACTTTTCAAATACTTGGTTCACGTTGCACCACACGTCCCTTATTTTTATGATCCAATTTTTTCAAATCAATTAAATTTCTTAATGTTTTAAATTCAACATATTTTATCTGAACTAACTTTAACTTATTTTTCATAGTTTGCAAATTAAGTCCGATTGTGTTTATTTTAGTCGCACGACGCCGGATCTCATCGTAAAATGTAAAAAATTTGACTATTTCACAATTCAACAAAAATTATTTGAATAACTAATTTTTGTGAGACGAATCCAATAGTGAGGTCCATTTCGTCATCTGAGTTCTAGAAAAATTTAGGTTTTTAACCTGTACTGTAATGGTTAATAACTGTTTTGCCATTTTTCATAAAAATTTCAATTTTCCTGAGTTTTACAGTAACTGAAAAGGCAAGGGCCAAACTAGTTTAGATAGGGGGAACCTCGCCCTAAGAAACAAGCAGGCAATGAGAGGAAAAAGAGTAGTTTGTTGACTATTACTAGACAAGGTCAATAGAATTGAAGTATAGCTTGGTTGGCTACTCAACAAAAAAATTGGGGGAGGGAGGGATTCTGTAACTAGTTGGATTATGTCTCGAAAGCCACTGAGTGAGACTAAACATGTACAAAATGTTTCCACTCTACTAAATGAGCATAAGGAGAGGAAGCAAGAAAGGATAAAGTGGCAGGCTTTGATGCACGCCAAGATAGAAGATCATGTAAGAGAACATCATTACTCTATCTTACTAATAGAAATCTTTCTTCTTAGTTCAACTTGATCAGGATTTGCACTCTTTGTAAGACTTGTTATTCTTCTTTTGCCAGTCTTAGATATATAGGAAGTTCATTCTCCTTCAAACCCTCTAACTCCTTAGGTAACATTAGGGAAGCAATTGAAACTCATTATCTTGTCTTTAATTGGGAACATTACCAACTCTAGAGCTCAACAATTAGAAATCAAGTCAATCCAATGACAAAGCAGGCAAGGGATCTAGAGATAGAACCAACAAATCAAATAAAGACCGACTTTCTCACAATGCATAAAGAAAAACATGTTAGGTAGGCATATAGCCAAGAAAAAGGTAGATGAATATAAGAGGGGTCGTGTCCTTGCCGGAGCCAACCTAGTTTCTTCTCTCTGAGGGTACAACCTTACTTGTTGAATTCCCTCAAAATCTATATTAGGGCACTTGAGCATCTTTCATTCCCTCTCTCGAATCTATGCCCATTTTTCATCAAATTAAAGATTCAGAAGTTTCACAAGTACAATACCGAAAGGCTTGACAAAAGGAGAATTACAAGGAGAAGGTAACGGGGTGACTGGAGTGAAGACTAGACACAGTAGAAAAGGTTAAGGGCCTCCAACAAAAAAAGAAAGGCTTTACTCAAGTAGAATTGTGAATAGAATCTTGAATTTGTATACTTTTCTGTCTTTGAATCTTGCTTGGTGCCGTCTTCTCCCAAAAATGTGATGAGTTTTAGTACTGCCTGAGGGACAAATTTTTTGTCTGAATGTAATATTCCAAATGTGAGATAATTTATGTGATTAAGTAATATATTTCTAAGAATTCGAATGTAATTTATACATATAAATAAGATGATCGTTTTGATTTTGGTAGGATCGAGTCAACCAACTAGTGGGGATGGCCGCAGCCAGAATTGACATTTTGTAAGGGAAATGAAAAATGTGCTTCTGAATTACATTGACCTTTGTGTATGCGGTGGCCGGTCATTCAAACAAATTCATTTTGGTATTGAAGAAGCGGTCATGGGATGTCGTGCGTACAGTTCCCAGAAAAGACTAATTCGCCTGCTTGCACTTTGGTAATGCCAATTGTTTTTTTCTTTCTTGGTGTATAATTGCTATTCAAGACCAAGACCTCAATTGCCATTTTGGTATGCAATGCGATTCATTATTTAACGAGTTAAATAGTTATTCTCTTTTAGTTTTTGGCATGGCAATAAGAAATTAAGTGATGAGCCTTTAGAAGTAAGTACTACTTGATTAGAGACCAGCAATTCAATTCAACTCGTTACACACGCAGAGCACTGGACTTGGTAGAGTATTACTATTTATATTCCACAAGCAATTCTCAGTATTGGTTTTGGATAGGCATGCGCTCCGCTCATTGTTGTATATGAATGAGACAAGAAGAAGCCCCCATGATCCACATCTCAAACGCGTTTGGGTTTTGCTTCAAGGTGATTTGTATACGATCTAAATTTACGAAGAAGCACGAATATTTCGTTAAGGTCGACGTATCTATATTAAATATCTTATCGAATACGATATTCATCGAATACTCGATGATACGTATCAAACACGCATCATCCGTATCCGATAATTAATAAAATATATGAATACTTCGCGAATACTTTTCAACATGGAGCAAGACGTATAATTTTTAATTTTAAGCTATACCTCTTCTTTGGAGTTCACATACAATATAAAATATCAACAAAATTTCATCTGATTTTAAAGGCACGAGTGTTTTTTAAGTATTATTTATTATTATATGTTAAGAGGATATAAAAAAATTAAGTCACTTACACTATATTTTTAAAAATAAATACTTATAAAACCAACTAGTTAAATGTTATTATTATTTCTTTAATTTGTCATACTCATTTTATAAACAGATCATAATGAGATCATAATGAGACGATATTACATCATTTACATGATAAAAATTTCTAATTTTACTTTGCTAATGTTAAAGAATTATTAAAAAATTATAATTTTTAAGTCATTAAATAATAGTAAAATATAAAATATATTTTATTATACACGTATCCTGACTGTATCCATTTTCTATTTTTTTAAATTTTACAGTATCACTGTATCCGTATTTGTATCCGTACTTCCTAGATCCAAATCCAATACAGTTTTGACTTTTATAATTCATATCACTCCTAAGTAATAATAGGTTATTCGTTTCATACATACACGATAACTAAACAAAGGAGAGATTTTGCATCCAAAATTAACCAAAAACAAAGAAGACAAAAAAATAAAAATAAAAAACAAAAGAAAGGCTTTTTGACTTCCCTCACTGCTTTACATTGTTTTTGTACACAACTTCAATCGCTTGCATCAGTCAAGTAAGAATGAAAAAAAGAAAAAGAAAATCGAATGGCTTTTTTTGATTGCTCGACTCGGGCATGCCCGTCGTTTGTTTCCACAAGAATATGTCTCTATCATCCTCTCTACAAGACTGTTCGAGATTTCATTTCTGTAGGCTACACTTGGCAAATTTCAAACACCATTTTTTAAGGTTTTCCATGATTTCGAGGCTCCTCGGCTACATCAAGTCAAGACGAAGCCTTGGAAACGTCTTTGTTGGACCTATTGTACTTCATGTGACTCTTCACAAGCTGTCCAGCAGCAAGTGCAGACATGAGGGAGAGCTCCCCAGCGAGAACAGACCCAGCTACAATGGTGGCTAACAGCCTTGAATTTGTTCCTGGTGACTCTTTATTCGCACCCTTTACCCCAAGCAGGTTCAGACATGCTGACTGAGATGCAAGTTGGGTTCCACCTCCTACTGTACCTACCTGAAAATTACAATGGGGGCAAACGTCGTTAGAATTTATAACATACTGTGACAAAATCACGACAAAAATCATGAAAAACGAAGGAAGGACCCTCGATGGTTTTACAATTTTCCATGGAAAAAATCTCACCTTCAAAACCATTGCACTCAATTAAAAATCCAAGAATCCTTGATGCCTCCCTTTGAAAGTTTAGTTTAATCTAACTATGGTAGAGATGGTGCAAAAAATCTAATTGTAAAGACGGTGCAAAACATTTTTGCTAACACTAAAACAGGATTATGATAAGGTTGTATTGAATACCTCAATACAAGGCATTGTCACGGAGATGTGGAGGTCCTTCCCATCGTTGACAGCTTCCATCATGGTGATACAGTGGGAGCTCTCGACATTTTGTGCGGGATCCTGGCCAGTGGCTATGTAGACTGCAGACACAATGTTACTGGCATGGGCGTTGAACCCACCTAGAGCTCCAGCCAGGGCGGAACCAGTGAGGTTCTTAAGCATGTTAAGCTCCACCAAGGAAGCGACGTTGGTCTTAAGGACTTTCTTCACCACCTCCTCTTTGATGATAGCCTCACAAACAACTGACTTGCCTCGGCCTTCAATCCAGTTCACCGCAGCTGGCTTCTTGTCGGAACAGAAGTTTCCTATTGAAAATAGTGTTGATGAGTACCATTACTCCTACAAAAGGTGTACTAAAAGAGTGCTCACACATTTTGATGCGTTAACTAACTCTTAAGGTGGTGATTAACCAGGCTTTGTGAAATTTGACGCCTGATGTTCATTTGCAGATCAAAAGTACTACGTGATCTAGAGTAAAGAAACAACTACTTTGTAGATTAAATAAACTGCTCTGAGAGAGAGAGAGAGTTACCAGAGATGCCCATAACATCCATGTCAGGGAAGTCATCCTGAAGAAAATCCAAAACATTTTGAACACCTTTGGAGACCATGTTCATCCCCATGGCATCCCCAGTGCTGCAAGAGAACCTGATGTAGAGATTCCTGCCAGCAATCGAACATTTGATGCTTTGGAGCCTTCCAAACCTGCTAGACCTGTTGAAGACAACAGCCAAGGTTTCGAAATTGAGGGGATCCTCCAAGAAGAACTTAAGTTGGGCAGCCCTCTTGGCGGTGCCAAACCTGACCACCGGAGCCCTGGTCATCGCATCCCTCAACAGCACGGAGGTTGCACCACCAGAGGCATAAATTGCCTTGCATCCCCTGTTGGTGCTCGCCACTAAACACCCCTCGGTCGTGGCCATGGGTACACTATATTCACTCCCATCAAGCAACAAGGGCCCAGCAATGCCCACAGGGATCTGAACATAACCCACAGGCATCTCGCAACACTGTCCCATAATTGACTCGTAATCGAGACCCTCCAATGGCAGCCCAGCAAGAGACTTGCCAGTCTTCCTCTGCAAGGCCTCGCGCCGAATTGCAGCAGCACGATAGCAATCGCCGAGCTTGGATTCGAGGGCATAAGATGGAGTTTTGCCCTCAACCACTGATCTAATGATCTCTTCATCCTCCTCCGATGAGACATAGGGAGAGGGAGGGGAATCGACCAAGACCTCGTTGTGTTTGGGGGAATCCAGCTGAAGCTTGGGGGCGGCAGCACATGGAGCTGAGCGAGAGTCGTCCTTGAGGGTGATCTGATTGATATCTTCTTCGTCGTCATCAGCGGCCCAAACGTCTTCGTGGGGAGAGCGGATTATCAAGGACTGGACGAAGCCAATCCCGAAGAAACCCAAGAGGTAGATGAAAGAGGCGACGAAGGTGACGATGGCGGCGATATCAGAGAGAGTGAGGACGTGGAGAGGGGCTGAGTTGCGGATCTTCTCGCGCCACCTGACGAGAAGGTAATACACCACTGAAAAGAATAGGGTGAAGAAAAGGGCGTTAGTAAGGTAGAGAGGAAGAGAAAGCGCGTCCGACGCTTTGGGTGAATCGTCATGGATATCATGAAGCACCGCCTTTTTGGAGGGTTTAAGGGGAGACCCGGCTGTTTGGATTTGTGGAGGATGGGGTTGGGTTTTCATCGATCGCCGTCGGACGTCCATAATGATTTTGAGGATTGTTGTCTTAGACGTCGATTCCGGCAGCGAATCGATGAAATTCCTCCGAAATTACGGAGAAGGAACAAGATGAGGGGAGATCTAGCTATTGACAGATAGCTTTGGAGATGGATGGAGGATCGGGTATTTAGGGCTCCTATTTAAAGAGTTTGGGGGCAGGCAGACTCAGACTGTTGACTGTAAAATGTGAAAAGGAAGAGAGGCCAAGTATCTTCTGCGAAATGGGCAGAGAGAGAGAGAGAGAGAGAGAGAGAGAGAGAGACGGTGGCGTTCCCTTATTTGTCTGTTCCTATCTTTCTTTGTTTGCTACCTTTTTTCCATTCCATTCCACTTCTTGTCCTTTCTCATCGTCTGGTTTCTCCTATTCCTTCATTTCCATCCGCCAGCCCTTTTTTGTATCCTCAAGCACATCTTTTATGATATGAGTTAAACTAGGCAAAAATTTTAAAATTTAATTATTTTACTTTAAAATTTTATTTTAATAGAACATTTTTAGAATATCTAAAATAATATTTTATTATAATAACAATTTATTTTGAGTGTCACTATTACAACATGTATAAGTTTTTATAATATTTTTTCTCTTCTTATATTCTTTTCTTTCTTTTCCTCCGTTCTTTTTCTCATTACTCCTAAAAATAATTATAAAAATAATAAAAAATAATATTTAAAATGGTAGTTAAAAATATAAAAAATTGTTAGTGTGTATATTGAAAACATAACAAAAATTTTTAACCACATCCCTCTTAGGTTATCATATCTTCAAGGATACCCTAGATTATCAAACCACTATTTATAACAAAAATAAATAATCTAAAATACAAAAATTGCCCTACATAAATCCTAAAAAATCTTTCTACGTAAAATTTAATTAAAATTTGAACCGATTAAAATTTATTTTTTTGAGAACTAAAGTTCTTTTTTTTTACATATTAAAATTTAAGTCGATTAAAATTTAATTCAAATTAATTAAATTTTGTTTTTTACGCATTAAAATTCAAGCCTGTTAATTTTTTTTTACGTATTAAAATTCAAGTTTATTTGAGCTCTACTTGAGTTGTTAGTCCCAATTAAAATTTATATTTTTTATTTATTAAAATTTGATTTAAGTTGATTAAAATTTGAGTAGGTTAAAATTTATATTTTTTTTATGTATCAAAATTCGGACTTATTAAAATTTAATGCAATTTGATTTAACCCTCGAATAGAATTTTAATTGGCTAGTATTTTAATAAATAAAAAAATATAATTTTTAATTGACTTAAATTTTAATACATAAAAAAAAATTAATTAGTTCGAATTGAATTTCAATTGACCCAAATTTTTGTACGTAAAAAAATTTAGAAAATAGAGGGGGTCTTATTAAATATATGTCAATTTAAAGGATGAGTGAATGAAGTTTTTCCTAAAATATATCATAGACAATTTAGTAAAATTACATTTTAATTAATACCTTTAATATGACAGGAGTATCAGTAAAAATTTACAAAATAGAAGGAGTGTTTTTAAAAATATGATAAATTAAAAGGGATGTGACTGAAATTTTTTCAAAAAATAAGTAACTAAAAGAAAATATAATATTTTTTGAATAATTGAACTAACATCTGTTGTGTTGTTGGAGATGCTCTGCTGTTTCCTTTGGCTTCCAATAATTATTACAAAAGCACATGCAATCTATCACTACCAAGTTAAGTTTCCATTTTTTTGACATAAAAACTCGGATGAGAATGACTCGGTGGAGTAGTGTGGTTATGAGAGGTGAAGTACTAGTCAGCTATAGCTTTTGAGAGTCAAAAAACACCATCCTGTCCAGTTACCCTCAGGCCTCAGAGATGCAATAATGTACAAACTTGTATCATAATTACAACATGAGCATGTATACCTGTTTACATATACCCTAATTAGCCTAGCTTTGACAATATAATTTTGTGACGATAAACGGTTATTTTTTTATTAATGCCTCATTACTATTAGTCTCACATGGTGGCTGGGTGGGTGGGGGTTCGTCATTGTGGATTCCTGGTCCGAAGAGGCTGGCGGGCGCCAATTATTATGTTTTCCCAATGCCAAGACTAGGAACAGTTGAATATATAGTCAGACTGACCGTCCAGGCATTACTCCTCTATTATTATTAATAATAATAGAGGTAATGCTACTTTGTAGATCATGATCCCTCATATTTAAATAATTTTGGAGGTTGAAAAGAAACAAAATACTAGTAGTTACTCTCATCTTTTGGTGTTCCAAATTTGACATAGTAGTAGCCTCGCCTTGGTAGGTGGTGATGGTTGTTGGACTTATTTATTGTTAGCGTAAAACGACCCCCACCACCCCATCCATTTTAATTAATTTATTATTCTTCTTAGCTTCTCTACTGTTCAAAATCTGACTCTTCCACACACCGCTGCCCCTACAAGTCTACAATAACAACACCAACTACTACCGTTACTACGAAATCACAGATATTGACAAATCATGTTGTGGCATTTCATTTGTCTTTCTTTTTGAAAATTCCGAATATGCATAGAAACATATATAATGGTTTGTGGGTATAATTGAGATTTAGTGACATTTCCATTTTCTGTCATTCATTTTTATAGAAGTTGGGGTTGGCATGTTGCCATGCTCCTTGTAATTTTCAAAATTCATGGCTTCATTTTTCCGTATTTGTAACTAGCTTTGTTCATAATTCTTTTACAACTTTTATTGAATATTATATATATATGTGTGTGTGTGTGTGTGTGTGTGTGTGTGTGTGCACGCACGCACATGCCTGCACATACGTAGATGTAATCTTATCTTGACTGATGCTTCTTTCATATTAATCCTATGGTACAACTCCTCCCATCATTACCACATGCGGGCTTACACAGTCCTGTTAATTGTCCTCATGTACGTGATAAAAGTAGATTAGTTATAAGTTCTCATTCCACAGTAATAGAGTTATCTAATTATTATTTATAAAGTTAGGGATATATAAATCCTACAATTTCCCCAACACAAAGAACAAGTTCATACACTTGTCAAAATTATGGAATTTCACACGTAATTAAGAAAAGAAAAGGTATGGGAGAATTTTCTAGGCAGTGATATGATTCATGCATTGCCGAAATTCAAAACAACCCATATGGCGGCAGCCAGACACCACACAAAAGCAGACAAGCCCCAGCATAATAACACCCAAGTCAATGACACCAGAAAATACACCAAAAGCAACGGTCTACAAGGCCAGCAGCCTCGTCCAACAGAAAACAACAAAGTTCAGTTCATTTCATCAATCAACCCAAAGATGTACTTGATGAAAAAGTTTCAACACAAATAACTCGTTTTTCTAAAACAAGTTATATTTTACATGGAAGTATTTGCATGTAGCATTCATAAAAAATTTACGGAAAATGCTCACTACAAACATTTCTCTCGTATAGTAGTAACCAGGAACAAAAAAAAGAAAAAGATAATCTCATGAAGATACAGCAGAAGCAGACTCTAAGAGAGGCTGATCCTTGTTAAATGATTCCCAATCAACTTCCTTCAGCATTTGGAACCTTTCATTTAAAGTCATAAAGCCAAATTGAGGATCCACAAGACCAAAAGTTCCTGCTTTATGGAGCAAAAGAATTGTAGCCCCCATATCTGGGCCATGAAGCTTTCCTGTTAGCAAGACCCGGAGGGGCATGAATAGAGATTTTCCCTACCACAAATATAAGTGAACAAAATGTTAATTATTAGGAAATAATAGATGCCAACATCAGATTGGTGCATCATCAAAATTTTTACATCAGTCTGAACTAACCTTCCGTTTCAACGATTTACCAAAGCTCTTCACCCATTTCTGCCATCCAGAGGACCCTTCTTCAAATGCACCAACGAGATCACCATTATCGTAGGCAGCTAACAAGCTAGCTGCAACTTCGGGAAGCCTCTCTTCTAAGACGGATTTTCCTTCAGGACTGCAGATGGCACACACAAGGTTATAAGTACTTCTTTACATGTGCACATTGAGTTATATATTTAAACAATTTACCACTGACCTTTTATAATTACTAATCAGCTCTAAGTACTATGCTTTAACTGTGACTTATTCTTTACATATGCAAGACCATTGACCTTCGCAATTGATATTTATGAAAATATCCCACAGATTGAAATAAATTTACAACATATCCTTATGAGTACCTAATACAACTGCAAGACCACCATGCAGGTTCCACATTATTTTAGCAACCTAACATATCAATGTAGTGGTCTAGTATGAAAACTACCAGAGGAAATTTACATTGACATGGCAGAAGCTGATTAACTTTACACAATTGATGGATCTCACAAGATCCAGCATATAAATATCCACATAAGACAGACATTTGAAAAAGCCATGTAGCTTCATTGATTCATCATAGTCATTAATCATGCAGAGGTTTGTAGAGTTGAGTCAATTGGTTTTGCAAAGATAAACAAACAATTAATTAAGAACACTCTTATATCAGGGGCTTTGTTTTGCCAAGTGTATTCCACAGTTTTCATAACTACTCATCAGTCACCGTGGTGTGCGAAGGGTGGGGGTAGCTTCTAGGTTTCAATCGATGTGAGAGTGTGTCTCCCCGCCCATGGAAGAGGGTGAGAAATATGGAGTAATCTGCATCTCTTTTCGACAAAAAGATATGCACTTTCATCCCTTTTTCTTTTCCAGTTGCCAAACATTAGGTTCATCTATAACTGACTTTAGTACATTTCATACATAAGTTTCTGTTCATTTGTTGTGGTAGAGAGCTTGACTGCTGTTTTCGCGGTTTCCTGGGTTGTAGTATAAGTAGAAAATTACATTTTGTAGAGCTTTATGATTAATTTTGGCAATTCTACAATTGCAGGCCTAATGAGCATGGTTTCTGCACTCGGTAATGATCATGTTGACAATGTCTTAATAAATTGTTGTCCTCTGGTTCTAATTCTGTTAATATTTTGCCAATCCAGCAATGCCAACAACTGTAAATGCACATTACAGAGCAAAATCTCTACAATATTTTATTTTTATTCCTCTCTTTTCTGTCTAGCATCAATAATCCCAAAGCCAAATTCCTGTAGATAACTTCCATTAATCACAACAAATGGGTTATTTAAAAATATCATAAGCTGGTATTGTGTACTGCTATTACTCTGGTCATAGCCAACAGAAAATTGTGGCCCAAGGCCTTCTAGGAGAATGTCAAAAGAAAAGGCACAACTGCAACTAACATAACATTGCCTGTGAGAGTAGTACAACTTCAATCAGAATGGCCCATAGAAAGAAGAGTTCCTTGATCGGAAATGAAGCGAAAATAGCATAGAAAACTATTTTTAAGGCCAAAACTTCAGAATATCACCTTGTGAGAGTAGCATATAGTGGATAAGATAGCAATTCTGCAAGTGCACTGTCTGAGTCTGTTATCAAGTCAATCTTGTCTTTCAGCAGCTGAACAGCCTCCTGTAAATACATCTTTACTTTCTGAGTTTGATGACACGAGTCCCTATTTATTTCTATACATGGTGCAAACATCAAAGAAATCCAGTAACTTGGGAGATAATGACCAAAATAGAAATCATGTTTGATGTATTTTTGACCAGCAGGTATCAATAATAATAAGAATGACACCGACTTTGGAGAATTTTACAAGGCATTTTAATATTTATTGGCCAACTAAATGCATAACAAAATCACGAAAAATCCCAGAAGCTCAATTGCCAGTATACAACCATCGTTTAGTTTTACAATTTAACTTTGGTATACCATCAGACCCCTGAATGTATGTTAACAAAAGGGCCCTACCAACTCGATCTGGAAAGGGAATAGACAGTGCTGGGGATCCGAAAAGCCCCCGTGTGACCAGAAGGAGGTGAAGTTCGCTGGCTTGTAATTTATAGAACCATCTTATCCCTGGCTCAGAGAACTGACAAGTTGTTTGTGGAAATCTAAACCATAATACAAGTCATAAAAATGTGAAATCTGAAATTCTTACCTCTACAAACAAACCCTCTGATTCTGTCAAAATGCCGATGCTCTTCCAACGCTCACCAATAAGTTGAGCCAATTCTTCCGAAGGAAGGGATCTTAAATGTTGACCATTCATCCACCTTTAATTTTCACGAACATGCCAAAGGGAAAAGTGTCAGAGAACAATAGATTTTAACAATGTCTTGGACTACAAAAGCCGCCAATATTTTCAAAAATCAGAAGTCATCTCACTTTTTAAGAATCAAGGAACAATATGCACATGAGATAGAGCAACAAAAAATTTAGGAAACATGATAAAGAAAAAAGACTGCATTTAATATGTTCTGAGATTACATAAACTTGCTCCAGCCATATGCAAAGATAAGGGTTTCTGAGCACATAATAGCTGAAGAGACATGATCACCTTAATTTGGTAGAATCAAATATAGCTCCACTCTTGTTGACTCGACCAATGGAGAATTTTTCAACTGTAAATCGCATGAAAAGATTTAAAGTTATCATCTAGGTAAACCAATTTAATGACATTTTGGCTTACTTCAGCAAAAGACAGTAGATGCATATTATGAGATAAATACCAACTAATAGTCCCCAAGACCCAAAAAAAAAATCAAACTAAAGGAGAATGACTAACCAAGTTGCTCAAGGGTAAAAAACTCATTTTCAGTACCATCACCCCAGCCCAACAGAGCCAGATAGTTTACCATTGCCTGAGGCAGATACCCCATCTCCCTAAACTGGTAAGTAATGATTGCAAAATGTAAGTGATTTAAGTCCAACCTATTTGGAAAGAAAGCAAAGGGTATAAAAGTAAACTCAAAGATATGAACAAAGCTAAAATAGTAATAGAGACCAAAATTATGTTTTTACCAAGGAAAGCACAGGTAGACTAGCGTAAATCTTAACTACCTGGCCTACAGACGTTGCACCATGACGTTTTGAAAGCTTGCTCCTATCGGGTGCAAGAATCAAAGACACGTGTGCAAAGTAAGGCATTGGAAATCCAAGAGCCTGCGTAACTCAACATATAAGTTTCTTTACAAGTAATATTGAAGATAAAGACTAACTCCAGAAGTGAGGAAATATCAAAATGAAAATTTCAGGAGTAAAAAATTACCTTATATATCAAGGCTTGCCTCAGGGTATTTGGCAAATGCTCTTCTGCTCTGAAGTACAAGTTTTAAAAGGAAAGAACATATATAGATTAGGCTCAATAAAAGAAGCAAGCCAGACAAATGTCTGTAAAACTTTGATGCATATACTAATCGGTACATGGCAGACTTGCACAAGTATATGCAATGAACTTCACCTTATAACATGTGAGATAGCCATGGTAGAATCATCAACAGTGACACAAAAATTGTAGACGGGTTGTCCATTGCTTCTCATAATCACGAAATCTCCAAGTGTATTTAAATTCCAACTAACCTTCACACTTTCAAACAAAATTAGCAACCTACAAACACCAAGGATGAATTGATGTGAAGTGGACCACCCTCACAAGAACTAAAATAGTCACTGAACAAAAACAAAGGTGCCAGATTCAGCCATTCCCAGAGTCAAGCACGTTCAACATTAGGTTGAAAGATTAAAAAACACAATCTAAATCTCCGAAATTTTCCAGGTGTCTGACTTCCTGAAAAAATTCACCACATTATTATATTGATAGGTATTATAGTGGACTGAAAATAAGGCCTTTTAAGATAATTTAATGCATGATGGACATTCAAAACCATAAAAATAAACGCATTATAGTGTTCATCCTCAAGAAAATAACTAGTTTTATTAAAAAACAAAGGCTAACCAGCTAGATTGTCTAAATTGCTTTTCCTTACTCACCAAGGCTTCACCAATTCAGACAAAAAAAGTTTGTGTCCCAGATAAATGGCAATTCATTAGTTTTGTCAGGTTTTTCAATTGCACTAGACCATAATAGCCGCTAGTTCAAACCTAAACAACAAGATCCGCAGTTCCAGCCAAAACTTTTTATCTGACTCATACAGGCAAACACCCAGACCACACAAACCTTGTTTGTATAATGCAACCTTCATTTATTCATTGTTTTAGAAGTCTAATACATATATTTGGTTAGGCATGAATGACAACAAATACGTAACTATAGAAGCTAAAAGGACAAAATAATTACAGGCCAACTAAAAGTACACGATTTTCTGAAAAATAAATTCAAGAAAAAGACTCACTTCGCCTCGAATAAGATCATCAATTTTCAAACTCCCCTCCTTAGGCACTCGAAATCGGTAAGTATAAGGGGTTCCCTTTGCCAGCTCTTCTTGTACTTCCTTGTCTGTGGCGTTGGCCCACTTTCCAGTGTATACGGGAGGAAGTTGCTTTAGTTTTGCAATCTCCTTCATTTTTTCTAGTTCCTGAAAAGAACAATTGTAAAGAATGATAAGACAAGATTACAACTAAAACAAAAAACTATGAACAATGGAAAAACTTAAACATAGACTGAAAATTTGGTAAAAATACACAAAATGATAGATATTCGGATTTTGGAGAAAACCATTATGCTAATAATCTGGTTAGTGATAAAACTGACATTACGAAGACTTTGTTGTTCAAGCACATGAATATGAGATGCTCAAAATATTCTTGTGATGCTATTTCAGATAACACATTGAACCAGCCCTTCAACATATATGGATCCAAGCAGACATTATGCAACTCATCATAGTTGCAAAGGTCAGTTACATAATATGGCAGCCGCAAACAAACCCTAAAGAAGGCAATTGAGAAAGAAAATATTACAGGCAACCAGACAATTAATGAGAAGGTGGCCCAACAATTTCGGCTCAAACACAACACTCATGCAGAAATATCCATCCCCACGAATTAGGTGACCTACCATCAGAATTTTCATCTCAATAGCTCCCAAGTGAAGAAAGAGGCACCTTAAAACTAGCATGGGACCCCCAATCTCATTTCAAAAATTCTCATAGAACGGGATTGATCTAAATCCCAGGCACATCAATGCATCTTGAACAGACTCACTCAATTTGACCAGATAAAGCTTTGCATGTAGCACAATCCGAAATTCGAAATTCAACTCCTCATTATAATATATGTAAGAGAGGATGGTCCTCCCATGCATCCCATCACCTTCCGCCTCATTTAATCCAGTGATACAGCACTCTGAACTACCCATAAAAAAAATTGGAAAAACTGACACTTCAAGGTGCACCTTATAGGATGTCTTATAAAGCTTTAACTAGAATCCCAGCTGCATAGATGATATATTTTTTCAAATCATTCAAACTCTACATTGAATGGCCTATCTCTCAAGTTTGAATCAATCTTCTCATTTATTTGCAAGGCAATGTTAAATGTTCATACATGAAGGTGGTGATCTAGCTCTCTCAATCAATTTATGTGAGATTATATGACATGAAAACATCTCAAAAGTTTGAACAAAAATACCTCATTAGAACAAAAACAACGATAAACATGACCAGATTCTAGAAGCTTTTCAGCATATTGTTTGTACAGAGCATTCCTTTCAGATTGCCGATATGGACCACAGTTTCCACCAACACCAGGGCCTACAAATTTGCCACAAAATGTCATTATAAGTGTCCTGTGCGGGATAATTTGTGTCTTTTGCTTCATAAACGCAAGACAAAATCTCAGCCAAAGTTGACATAAAGTTTGAACTCAATAGCCAGAGACAAAATTTAAAGTGACATAGTTAAATGAACATTACATTTGAAACACCAAATACAAACCAACTTCTTTGCCATCTGACTGTGTCAGTCAACCAAAACCCCCAGTTATAGCTGCCCACTCTTAGATAAGCTGCTTAATTAAGAATACTTTTGGACTGAGGTAATCAAGCAAAATGAGCACAAAAGGTGAAGAACAACATTTTGTAGTGCTATATAAGAATTAGAGTTGTTCATATTGAAATTTTAACGGGACATGTGTTTCCGGGGGGCTAAAAAAGAGGATTTTGTGAAGAGAAACAAGGATACTTGGTGGAGGACCAACATTAACAAATGAATGTTCCCCTCAGCACACTGTGAGATAACTGAAGAAACCAAAACAAGTGGGTTTTGGAAACTGCAATAGGAGGGCCGCATTCTGCTTTTGACAACACAACTCGTTATGATGATACTCATAAAAGTCCCAAGTCTGAGATTGGTAGTTCGGTTCAGATTGGGAGCCCAGCTACAAAAACTTGAGCTGAGATCCAGACCTCGACCTCCCTTGACCTGCGCCTCAAAGGAAACAGAGGGGAAGACAGCATGCAACCACCAAGCATCCTCTCAATGGCAACAAAAGCCGGCCTAGGCGCCCAACTCGCGATTCCCTCATCACATTGCATAATCGCTGTCTAAATCAATCAAACATTATAAGATGCGAAGATCTCGCCTTAGATTCAGCTGAGCCCGAATTTAGCTGTAAAAAGTCCTTGCTATAGGGCAAGGAACCCAAGTTACCAAGACCATTGTGTAATTTCTCTCCCATTATCAATATATCCCCCTAGGAGCAAGAGACTCCTTTGAAAAGTGGATTAGCTGAGCCCCGAGCTGGTAAACCACTATAATTCCTCTATGCGATTGATCCCCTTCCCCTATAAACCCCATTCCAAAGAGCCTTGGAGCTCAGATTTACTCGGGTCAAAGCACCCACTATCTCCACTCTGTTCAATTGTGCTTTGTACATCATCAGTTGGCGCCGTCTGTGGGAACGATTGTTCCTCTTACAAATATACTGATCTCCTTCAGTAATTAATGAATTCTACGCGCAACATGAGCAGAAGTCAGATGCATCCTCCACAATTTCAAAACCAACAAGAAGCTACCAGCGGAAGACAATAGGAGAATCCTCGCAATTTCTTATCCACTGTTGAGACTGTTCCCCTGTAGCGAATCCCCCTCCAAACAACGAGCTTGAGACCCTACAACTTGCAAACCAGCGTCTCCTCCATCAGAATGAGGAGCCATTAAATCTCCTTCAACAACCCCAGAACGTCCAACCAGCCCATGGTGATCCCCTGCGGGGGGAACATCACCGAATCAACCCCCTACGAAACATTGCTGAAGGAGAAGAATGCAACCAGACCTTGGGCAATGACCCCAGGATCCCCAAGAATGAAGATTATAAAGAGGTACAGAGTCAGAATTGGGGAATCCCTATAGATGAGCTCCCCCCAATCCAATAGGAAAGGAGAGAATAATATTGGGAGCAATGGTTCAGGGATTTACAGCAGGAGCACAGCCACATGAAGGAGGTTGTAAGAGGCAAGACTCCAGTGACCATGGACGCCCTGATACAGCAGACTAAGTCCCCTTTTCCAGCCGAAGTAGTACTCTTTCCCCTTCCTCCGAAGTTCAGGATGCTCCAAATGGAGGTCTTTGATGGGACAAAAAATCCCATAGACCACCTCAATACGTACAAAAATCAAATGGAGCTTCATGGATATCAGGACCCTATATGATGCCGAGCCTTCGCCATCACATGAAAGACTCAGCCTTAGTATGGTTTAACAAGCTGACCCCAACATCCATTTCATCCTTCAGAGAACTATCCATATCTTTTGTTTCGCAATTCATAGGAGCCTAGACTTACTGAAAACCGAGCTATCATTTGCTAAATATAAAACAGGGACCCAATGAAAACCTACGGATTTATGTTCAAAGGTTCAATTCAGAATCATTGAAAGTAGACGTACCTGACGAAAAGTTTGCCATCACAGCCTTCATTGTCGGTCTGAGGGTTCAGTCAAAGGACTTGATGTTCTTCATATCCAAGAACCCGCAAGCCAACATGACAGAGATACTCACCAAGGCAAAGAAGTACATCAATGGTGAAGAAGCTCTACTTTCAAACACAGAAAATCTATCGATGCACATGGGAAAAGAGAAAGAGGAAAAGAAGAGGGATAAAAGTCGCAGGAAAGAGAGAACCCGAGACAGGTCCCCACGAAGGGACAGAGACCGTTCCCCCAAAAAGAGGTGAGACGTCAGGGATCACCTAGGTCCTCCACACCCAGAGTTACAGTCAAGGTTCGCACCCTGGCAGCTCACTCCACTCACCACCACCATATCCCAGATCCTTTATGAAGTGTGAAATAAGAAATTTCTGAGGTGGCCATCTCGGATAAAGGCAGACTATGCGAAGAAAGATGCAACGAAATACTGCGAGTAACACAGAAACCATGGCCTCCTCATTGATGACTCTATCCAGCTGAAAAAAGAGATTGAGTTCCTAATTCAACTGTGACATTATGTGGCGCAAGATAATCAGAACGGGGCTCACCCACCTCTGACACCTCAACAGCAACATCCTGCACAACACCAGCAACACCTAGGGGAGATCAGGGTGATATTTGGAGGATTTATTGGCAGAGGGAAAACCAGCTCAGCCAAAAAGACCCAAATGCGCAAGGTCAGAGCCGAAGAGATATTAGAACTGCAAATTGTGACCAACGCACCTTGACTAAACATAGACATCACTTCCTCAGATGCAAACTTAGAGGGTTGTCAGCACCCCCATGATGATCCCTTTGTGGTAAAAGTCACCATCGCCAACAGAACCATCCATTGAGTCATGATTGATAATGAGAGCTCTGCTGACATCATCTTCGCATCTGTTTTCGACAAGATGAGTATAGGCAAAGACAAACTTGAGCCAGTGAGGACTCACCTACTAGGATTTTTAGGGGAAAGGGTGCTACCCCTGGGTTCAATCCAACTCGTGCTCACTATAGGAGATCCTCATTGCCAATCCATTACCACTACGAGGTTCCTAGTAGTTGACGCCCCCTCATCATACAATGTCTTACTAGGAAGATCCTCCCTCAATGTCATGAAGGCCATTCTATCTACCTATCACCTAGTTGAAAAATTCCCCACTGAAATGGCATAGAAGCAGTCAGAGGAGACCAACGAGTAGCAAGAGAGTGCTATGTGGCATCAATGAGAAGTAAGGAGGTTGAAGCTATCCAGCTGGATGAACTAGATAAGAGGGACGAGTTGGAGATAAGACCTACACCCTTGGAAGAGCTAGAGCCAATTCGGCTCGACGAAGAACCAGAGCATGCGGTATATGTGGGATCAAAGTTGCCTAAAGAGCTCAAAGACCTCCTTATTTTGTTCCTCAAAAGGAATATGGGAGTGTTTACCTGGAAACAAGAGGATATGCAAGGAATTGACCCCTCAGTCATCACACACAAATTCAACATAAACCCAACCTGCAAGCCCATCAAGCAAAAACGAAAAAGTTTTGCCCCAAAACCTAAAAAGGCAATTAATAAGGAGGTCAACAAACTCCTCCACGCTAAAACAATCTAGGAGGTAAACTACCCAACCTGGTTAGCCAATTTGGTTTTCGTCAAGAAATCAAACGATAAGTGACGCCTCTACATCGACTTCACTGACCTGAATCGCGCCTGCCCTAAGGACAGTTTTACGCTGCCTCAGATTGACCGGATTGTATACACCACGGCTACACATAAGCTCCCCAGTTTCATAAACACATTCTCAGGGTATAACCAAATTAGAATGGACCCCGGCGATCAAAAGAAAACATCATTTGTAACTGAGTAGGGGATATACTGCTACCAGGTTATGCCATTTAAACTGAAGAACGTTGGGGCTACATATCAACGTTTAGTAAACCGAATGTTCCAAATGCAGATTGGGACGCCAATGGAGGTATATATTGATGACATACTTGTGAAGTCATTAAAAATTAAGCTTCACATCAAGCACCTCGAGTCTTTTTAAATCCTCAAAAAATATCAAATGAAGTTCAACCCAGCCAAATGCGCCATTGAGGTCTCAGCCAAAATTTTTTTAGGTTTTATAGTCAACAGTAGAGAAATTGAGGCAAACCCAGAGAAAGTCAAGGCAGTGATGGACATGCAACCGCCCTCTAATACAGAGAAGTTCAACGCTTGACAGGAAAAATAGCAGCCTTAAGTCAATTCGTATCCAGGTCAAGCGACAAATGTCAACCCTTCTTTCAGATCCAGAAAAAAGTTTTCCAGTGGAATACACATTGCGATAAGGCATTCAAAGCCCTCAAAGATTACCTCAGTACACCCCTAGTCTTGGTGAGCCCTAAGGAAGGAGGGGTACTCACCCTATATCTTGTTTCGGACTTCTCAACAAGTGCGACGCTAGTCAGAGAGCAAGATAGAACTCAGCAACTAGTCTACTACTGTAGCAGAGCTTTGAGGGGGGTAGAGGAAAGATATCCAAAAATAAAAGAAGGAAAAGTCTTACCTTACTCTTGGAACGCAGAACATTTGAAAAGATTTTTTTAGTGAACTCTTGTAAAAAAGTCCTCATCAGTAAAATGGCAAGTTACAGCTCAGTCAAGCATTTCATTAGCAGCTTAAAGCTAATGGTGAGCTCTTCAGCTCATAAATATAAGATGAGTTTTTCAACTCATAAACAATCGATGAGCTCTTCAGCTCATAAAAATAAGATGAGTTCTCCAGCTCATAAATATAAGATGAGCTTCCCAGCTCATAAATATAAGATGAGTTCTTTAACTCATAAACAATCGATGAGCTCTTTAGCTCATAAAAGCAAG